ATAGAGAGGGAAGGGGACTGTGTGCTTCAAAATTAAAGTTTATGAAATATTTGATTTCTGAACATTTCAATATTTTGTCTAATTTACATCTCTTCTTCCGTTGCAAGAAGAAAATTCTCTTACCCCCCGAATCTGCTGCTGCTGCTGCTGCTGCTGCTGCTGCGCCCCGCCCTTCTTAAGACCACTCGTCCCATCCTCCTCCTTACTCGCAGCGCTTGTTCCTGTACTTGACGTATCTCTTGTGACCCTCCCCTTCCCAGCTCCACTCCTTGAACTCCTCCAGGGTCAGCTGGAGCTCGCAAACGTGGCCCGACAGCCCCCAGCTCGCAGCCAGCTCAGATCTCAGCAGCACGTTGATGCAGAGGTCGCGGTACCCGGCGGAGAAGTTGGCGTCGTAGCTGTCATCGAACCTGTTCTTGACGCGGAGGACGAGGAGTTCGTCGTCCTTGATCACCTCGTCGAAGCAGCTCACCAAGTCCTTAAGGCTTGTGAACACGATGCACTGCCGCACGATGTCCGTCAGCCGCGACACGTCCCCCGTATAGGAGCGCGAAGCCTTCTCCATCGCCCGGTCCACGCTCTTGACTGTGGCGAACTTGACTCTCCTCCTCAGTTTCTCCTCCCTGCTCACCCCCTCCCACCTCACCAGCTCGAACTCGTTCGAGTCTGCCAGGAAACAGCCGCGCGACCGCAGGGCTAGCTGTTGGACCTTGTGGAGAAACAGCGGCTGCAGTAGGAACGCCTGCGCATACACCTGGTCCATGGACCAGACCTTGGTCAGGGCAGGCTGTTTCCTTCGGAAGGACTCGTTCACAGCTGGGAAGTGCTCCATGGCGGTGCTGATGGCAGACGTGCTGAGTCGCTTCTTGAGGTGCCTTGCTCTCTTGGACATGTTGAACTCCCTACCCATCCTCGAGAGCCTGCTCAGCAGCTCCGACGCCTCCTCCCCCTCCTTGGTCCGCTGCCACAGCTCACTGTACTTGTTCATGTCCATAGAGACCTCCTCCCGCGCCTTGCGCAGCGCGAAGAAGCGGAGGACGACGAAGAGAAGCCAGACGAGGGCGAAGATCGAGGCCGTGAGGGGGAGCTGGAACGAGTTGTTCCTGTACACGAGGTAGTTCTGTACCTGGAGGCCAGTGAAGCAGAAGATGAAGTGGATAGGAACGTAAGTCATGGTGTACGCCTCTTTGAAGTTCAGGATGAGGCCGAAGACGATGGAGGAGAACCCCAGGAAGAGCCAGTAGAGGAGGGAGAGAGGGCTGTTGCTGAAGCTCGCGGCCCCGACGATGACCTCGATAACTCCGGGGATGAAGAAGGCCAGGCCGAACGAGAGGAGCGTGAGCGACGTCCGCCCAAGGGTAGCGAAGACGGGGACGAGAAAGACGAAGACGAAGACGGGGATATAGATGAAGATCGAGCCTAGCGCGTTGAACCAAGGGATGTGCAAGCTGATCTCGTTCGCCACGGACGGGGAGGAGGAGGTTGGGAAGACCATCTCAGGGAGGGGAAGGCAGCGGGAGGACCCGATGTCCCACACACAGTGCGATGCCGAGACGGTCTTCCACGAGGAGGAGGGGAGGCTGGGGGTCATGCTGCTCGTCACGTCGAGCCGGAACCGCACGGGATCGAGCGAGCGAGGCTGCTCCGCCTTCACGTGGAAGAACCAGCCGTTGGCGCTCACAGGGTTCGAGCTCAAGAGAAAGAAGTCCGTTCCTCTCTCCTCAAACTTGAACGTCCCAGTCACCCTGCACCCGTTCAGGAGGAGGCCGATCGAGGCCACGCCCGAGTCGGCGGGCAGCGAGCCGTTGCGCGTCTGCAGGGAGGAGAACCGGAAGCTGGTCCCCTCGAAGACGTTGTTCCCAAGGAACTGCTGCAGAAACCCCCCGGGACCAAAGAAGATGACTTGGAGGTAGATGGAAGTAGCGAACAGAAAGATCTTGACCCATGGCTTCTGCGTCGCCAGAGTGCAGGGGATCTGCGTGAACAGCACACTCGCTGTCCCTGCCGTCTTCACCGCATGGTAGAACTGGTTCAAACGGCTCTCAAGGATATTCCCTGGTAGGAGGCAGCGATACTTGAGAATCTGGCGAGCTCTGTCCTCGCAAACATCCTCCTCGTTCTCCTCCTCCTCCTCCTCCTCCTCCTCCTCCTCCTGAACCTGCCCATCAGCGTTCTCCTCCTGCTCCCCGTTCTCCCCTCCCCCTTCCCGCTGTTGCCGCTGCTCATCCTCCTCCTCCCTAGCGACACAAACTTGCGAGAGCCCCACACACCTCACGGACGAGGAGCACAGGACCTTCGACCGCGTAAACAACGACCGGAACTTCTGCAGCTTGTAGATCCCTTCCATCCTCAACACCCTGCGGAACTTGAGGTAGACCTCATGGTCCATCTCGTTCAGAATGCTAACGAATCTCCGATGGAACAGCTGCAGCTCGCAGACGTACCCGGCCAGGCCCATGGCCAGAGTCTCGTCTGTCCTCAGACGAAGCCTTACGCACAAGTCGCGGTAGCCCGCAGACCTCACGGCATCGTCGTCTGGGCGGAACCTGTTCTTCACCTGCACGATCTCGATCGTGGGGTCTGACGAGATGGTCTGCAGACATTGCAAGATGTTGCTGAAGCTGTCAAAGACGATTCTCTGCCTCACCAAGTCCGTGAGCCTCGAGACGTCGCCATCGTACGCCCCGACAAGCTTCTCCACCGTCCTCTCCAGAGGTTTCAGACAGAGCTTCGTGAGCAACGACATCATGTCCGCATTCTTCTTCACATCCCTTGCAGACATCAAGTTGTCATTGTCGAAGAACATGAAGCTTCCTTCACACGATTCCGCAAGCTCAACGATCTTCGACGCAAACAGAGGTTGGACTGTCACACTTCGCGCGTACAGCTGATCCAACGATGTCACCCTCTGCTCTTGCGCCAGGATGGAGGCGAGGACAGCTGAGAGCATGGGGCTGTTCCTCTCGATGACGAGGGGGGCACGACCGGAGGATGGCCGACCAGCTTCGTTGTCACTCGTCGAACTCTGGCCGTTCACATCCTCGCTGGTCAAAGCTTCCCGTTGAACTTGCGTTGGGTCTGCGGGAGCGTTTCTTTGAGGGTAGGGAAGGCGAAGCTGCCTCGGTGTGCTCATCCAATGACTCTTCATCTCAAGATCTGCCACCAGGTTGTCGAGAGCCAGCAGCGCGTCATAGTTGCCGGCTTCTTGAAGCAGCACGTTCCAAGCGCTGTCGAACTTCTCCTTCATCTCTCGCATCTGTCGCGTGCACACGACCCGGGTCCGGTGTCGGATGAGCAAGAAGACGAACGCCGAAGTCATTGTCAGTATGGACGCAGTCCCGACATTGTCTCCGGACAAGTTGTTGACTGGAAGTTTGATGACTTGGGCGAGGATGGCTGTTTCGAGTATGAATGACTCATCGAAGAATAAAGGAGCTGGGAAGACGAAGATGTCCTGTTGAGAGCAGTTACTCAAGGGGGATGAAGAAGGAGAGAATCTTGTTTGTACCGCCAGTCCGTTGACCATGAAAACGATCTGATTGTTCTGCTCCCATAAATCGTAGATTGCAGCATAGGAACTGATCTTTACCACCCCTCCAATGAAGAATGCGACACTGATGAGCTGGCGAGTACAGTGTCACTCGTCTAAAAATCAATATGAAGGACATCAAACTGAAGACAGAAGAACATCACGAAACATTCGACATGGAATCTGCTCTGAACAACAGAGCACGGGACATTGGAAATGAATGCAACAACAAACGAAAACATCCCAGACAAAGTTTTGAATACCTTGACGGGCCATTCGAACCATCCCTTTCTGATTGCTAAGACGGCGAGCAGAAGAGAAATCCCTTCGACGTATCTCCCAATCATCTGTGCACAAGATCCCCAAACACACCTTGAATCCGCGTTGAGGAACTTGACAGTTTTCACTCGCTCTTTCGGCAGTGTGAACGAGGGGAGCTTGTCACTCGAGATTTGTACTTCCTCAAGTTCTACAAGGGGCCTCCAGCCACACGCGTGCGACAGTCCAAGGATCTGCCACTCCCCGTCCTCGAGTGCCTCGACAACGAAAGTCGAGGGGTCCATCTCGACAGACATGTTGGATGTCACGACGAACCAACCATCAACAAGCACGGGCGTAGAGAAGTTCAGGTATGCTATCGAACCTTGGCGGTCTTCAACATGTTTCACACCATCAACCCACCCATTTTCCCTGGCTGGAATCTCACAATTTTGGTGCATTAACCCCCAAGAAGTCAACCCTATGGATTTGATCGCCGATCCACTCGCACCATTCCTGAGCGCCAAGACTCTTAGCCGGAAGTATTGAAAGGAGACACTCCTCTTCGTGGATTCTGGTAGATTCCACATCGCAGTATTCACAGGGAGGCCAAAGAGGAGGTCGGCTAGAAGGAGAAGGAGAATGATCTGAACACTTATTAGCGTCATGCCGGCTGAGAAGGGTTTGGAAGAGCAGAACACCCTCCACAACTCTTTCTGGTAAATTGACAGACGATAAGTATGAAACTCATTCTGCATATGGCTTCCTGACCGTTCTGTACATTTCAACATGTATTGCCGTGCATCTTCGGTGATTCTTGACTTGGGCCTTGACGAAGATTCCTGTGCTTGTACTTCTTTTCCGTGTTGTGAGCCTTCTTCAATCATCAAGATCCCATTGGTCTCGTGCGCAAGATCTAACTCTCTCGCGTAGTCTTCAGCAATGGGAGACATTAAGTTGCCTGTCGTTCAATGCTCAAAATCGTGCCGCTGAACATCAACAGGACGGGCCAAGGGAGCTAACGTGCATTACACAAGTGAAGTCTGGGCAGTCGTCAGACATTATGCTTGGTTGAAGGACTCCAGCTTCCTTCTTGTCCCCAACTGAGACAAAAAATCAGAACAAACATCCAGCGATAAAGCATCTGCTACAAATCTCCCATTTCACATAACGATGACATCAAACTATGACCAACCCCTCTGCTCTCGCAACACAAAGAAATGTCGGAGCAGAAAACACATCATTTTCGTTGTTGATGATGCATATAAGATTGAACAAAAGTGCTTGCAAAAATCCAACCGACGTTGCCGACTATATTGAATGACTCTCCATCACTCCATTCTCCGCTATTCTTCCACTTGCACATCTCTATGCACTATTTATCCCTTATCCCTCTCCCTTGCCCCCTCCCCCCCTCCACATAATAGTAGCACTCCCTGCCCTGCCTGCCCCGCCCTGCCCTGCCCTGCCCTGTCCTGTCCTGCCCTGCCCTGCCCTGCCCTGCAAATCCTTATCC